GGTGTGAAGGGAAGTATGTTAGATTTAAGCATTGGTATACAACCATTTTATTACATTTATACAATACCATACCATACTTTTTGCAAGAGTTATACCATACTGAATGTCCCTATACTCTTGAAGAAATGACTAGCAATAATTTAGTTGATGATAATAGTGAAATAGAAGATGAAGACATCCAATTACTCATTGATCAAATGAATGATGATATTGGCATAACTTAAGAACAGGTGAAATGCTTAGTGATGATGAAATTATTGCAGCAGTCCAAGTAGCCCCAAAAAATGAGGAAGAAGAAGAAGATATGATTCCAGTATCTAATAAAATTGCTCTAGAAAGCATCCAAAATTTATCTGATTATTTGCAACAAAATGATGATATAAAAGTAAACAGTTTATTTGTTTCAGGGTTGAGAGATTTAAAATGGACAATTAGTAGAAAACATGCAACTTCTTCAATACAATCTAGCATGGATATTTATTTAGAATAAAAAAAAAAAATTTTCATATTTTTATGTTTTATTATTTATAAAATTTTTAACACAAAAAATTTTTATGTCACATGTTCTTTGTAAGACGGTCTTGATAAGTCAACCAAACATGCTCAGCCATGCACGGCTGATTTATCGAGTTTACCTATGTAGTTGCCGAAATTAACTTTATTAATTGCCGGAATTAAAATTATTTGAACACTTTAACTCGATAGCCAAAATTCTGAGTAGTTTTTTTATGTCCATCATTATGAAAATATTGTAAATCCGAAATTGCCTGCTAAAATTGAATTTTTCAAAAACCATTTCAGCTAACATCTTCATTTAGAACCAATGATAATATGCCAGGTGATATTTTATTTTATTAATTTATTTCATTATTTAATTCATTTAATTTTTTTATTAAGCAAAAAAAATCCTTGTTAATTTAGGTTTTAATATTGGATGTGCAAATATTTCAGAAATCAATCCATTAGATAGAAATGGTTATTTACTTATTTTTACTGAAAACCAATTATGTATTGCCAAAATTATTGTAATGTATGAATTGAAAGGAGGAAAACATGCTTTAGTAGATAATGTCAATACTATTGATACATTATCATATATTTCTGTTTGTTCATGTTTATGGAAATAGGTTATTTACTAATTATTGTGGTGCAGGCGGTAAATTATATGCACATATTACTCCTAAAGAAGTTATATATTATTTTGATAAAAATTTTTCATTCTCATTTCAAAATAATTTTCTTTCTCTTGATGAAAATACATCATCCTTTTATTCATTTTTTAATAATGAGAATGCTATAAAGCAATTGAAACATATTTTTAAAAATTAGTTTAATAATTTTTTAATAATAATAAATTTTTTTTAAAAAGTCCATGATATAAAGTGGGTAGATTTAATAGTGTTAAAAAAAATGTTACTAATATTAACAGGGTAAATTAATTATATAAACCCTTGGGTAAACTTAATATAAAAATCATGAAAATTGACTGGGACATCAATTAGAAGTTCCGGGGTCCTGATAGATCATCAACAAATAAATATAAAAAAGAAAATGTTCATGACACTCTTGACAGATTTATCATCTATATGTAATGCTAAGCGAGTAATTCTATTTGAAAGAAAAAAATAATCATATTGAATTCTATGAATTACTAATATATTATATCTTCATGCAGATGACTGAAGGTGGAAGCGAACCAAAATTATTGCCACGTACCATCATAATCATGAAACGCGTCCAGTAATTAAACTTATCGCCAGCGTTATTAGCCAGAAGATAATATACTACAACGTTGCTTTAGGAAATAATAAACGGATTTTGTCTACAAATTGACATTAACAAAAGGAAACAAGACTTTATAGATATTTCTTCATCTTTTGACAATATTCAATTTGCTAATTTAGCATGGAAGAATTGAATAGATTTTTTTTTTTGCGATAGTGATGTTTATCAAACAAATTTATTTATTTTCATATTTTTTCAAAAATAAAATTCTCTAATAATAATAATTATTATATAGTTAAAAAAGCTCATTAAAAATTTAAGCAAAAACTCAATAAAAAGTGCCATCAGAGAAAAAATCCTGATCACCAAAACCCACTTGATAAACCATGCAGAAGAGACTTTTTTTTTTTGATTAATCCCAATTTTATACAGTATTCGTATATTCCTTTGCCCAATCACCTTCAGTCTCATCTGCCCAGTTAGTACCACCACCGTTATCACCTGTGGCAATTTCGGCTACCCGATTAGCATCATCATTGCCATCTCCTGAAGTAGTTTCAGCCGTCCAATTAACATCACCTGTAACAGCTTCAGGTGTCCAATTAGCATTATCACTGCCACTTGCCAAAGTAGATTCGATTGCCCAACTAAAATCATCTGTAGTGGTCTCAGCTGTCCAATTAGAATTACTACCTCCACCGCCTTCGGTTGACCAATTAACATCGCTTGTAGTAGTCTCAGTTGTCCAAATAGCATCACCTCCTGAAATAGTTTCAGCTGTCCAAATAGCATCACCGCCATCAATATCAATAGTATTAGTTTGATTATATTCAATTTTGTCTGCCCAATTCACTCCGGAAGCATCCCAATTATTTACAGAAGTAGTAGTAGCAAGTTGAGGATTGGTTACACCAATGACAGCGGTTGGACCAAAAGCATCCCAATTAGAATCTTGAAACGAGGTAGCATCAACTTCATGTGTGTCGCCAGCGAATTTTTCAGACAGAACCCCTTCGGCTTCTTTTTCGATAACTTCAGGGTCATGGCAAAAGAACATATCCACCATTACATCCCATGACGAGTCACGTAAAACAGCACCACGAAGACGAAGTACTTCACGAGCAAGTAACCAATAGATTAAGCCGATTGCATGCTTACCCTTATTATTTGTAGGGATTGCCACATCTACAAATCCAAGAGGTGATTCCGTATCACATAAAGCAATTACAGGAATGTTGACATATGATGCTTCCTTAATGGCCTGATGATCACTCAAAGGATCATTTACTATAATTAGTCTAGGCTCCTTGAAAGAACGAGTGATGTAATTTGTGAACGTGCCAGGAATAAATTTACCGGCTACAGGTTGAGCTCCTGTGTATAAAGCAAATTTTAACACAGCTCTTTGACCATACTGACGAGATGATATGACACATACGTCAGCTGGATTTTCTATGGCAACAATGATACGAGCATCAAAAATTAAATATAATGAGTAGATAAAAAAGAACAAAAATGCTAAACAACCATTACCTTTACAGTACAGTATTAATCAATGAATACATTAGCATGTCACCATTCTATAATGCAATCTATATTTTATATAAATAATAGATTTAGATAAATTCTTGTGAAAAATTATTTAAATTAAAAACTTACACATAAATTTATAGGTTTACAAAAGTCCAAATCACTACAAACACAATAATAATAACAGCAAAAGTAAACATTACATACTTTTTTTTAGATAAAGACTGGTGTAATATATCAAAGATGTATATATACCCTATTTAAATGTGCCCCAAATCTGGAATCATATAACATTGCAAACATTATCAGCAGCCTTTTTTTTGAAGCCATTTGATATTGTTACTTGACATATATTTCTTGAATTTACAACCAATAAAATATCTCAGTAATGAAATACTGTGACCATGTATGCACAAATTAACTTTTAAGGAACCAATTTAAAGAAGCCACGCCATGTCCTCCTAACAAGTAAAAATGAGAAAATTTAGCAGAGTTAGTAAAATAAACCATTTATGTTTTTGTCTTCCCATGTAGGAGATGAAAGTTATGTTACCTTATTCATATTATTTACTTCTTAGGCATGAAACTTCTTTCACCTTATTCTTCTTTTGTCCAAATCATAGTGGGAATTTCAGCAGTAAGTTCCTCATCCTGATTGTATACAAGTTTAGTAACAGGTGTTTGGCTATTATAGATTTTTATAAATACTGCTATGGTATCATTGCAATATACATATGTATAATAGTTACAACTCATCACTAACTGATACTAATATGTTGCAGTTCCTTAAAAATCAATTCTGAAAAAAAGAAATTTAAACCCAATGCATTAAACTTCGTCCCACAAACTCTCCTAATGCTGGTTCAACATTTGTAATATTGAAGATACCACCGATATTTGGATGCAACTTTGGTGTACATATCCCAACCCATAAAATCCTTTTTTACCTTTTTTAAAACACAAAACCAAATATATGTAAGTTTACTACATTAAATTGGATTTGATTTATAGGAGAAAGTAGTGAATTTATGCTAACCTTCATCAGAAAGCTTATCTAATATTCATGAGATTAGGTGAACCCAATAAACCACCTGAAATATTATTAAAATAAATGTTGTCCTCCGATTTCTTTGAAATCTAACTTATTCTAATTAAATGTATTACTTGAACCTTCTGTGTATAATTATTTCGAGTTTATTTAAATTCCTTCGTTTTAAATTAAATCTAAGAATTAAATGTCATTTACATTTTAGAATGTTAGAATATTTTATTTCCCATTGTTTGAGATATTTTCAGCGAGTCAATTATTTTATTGGTGATTGAATAAAAATATGAAATTGGACTGGTTTTGAACACTTATTAGTTTTTTCCCGATTTTATTATATTTGGCGCCATATTATAGAAGTTTTGCACAATATTTATTATCTTATATAAAATCATAATATGTACTGTACAGTCACGTCACAAAGTAACGCCCGATTCAAAATTGAAACCGAAAATAAAGATATTTATTGATTTTTTTTATTTTTTAGCAATTTATACATAAAAAAAAATTAATATCTAACTAATACTTTGTCGGCCCACCATTTGCTCTTAATACCGCATCGATTCTTTTTGGTATTGAGGTAACAACCTCCTCGAAAACAGAGCGATCCAAATTTTCCCACTCCTCTCTCAATGCAATTTTAAGTTCGTTCACAGTTCTCAGAAAGTCTTCATGCTTTTGGATATTATCCTTTAACAACTTCCAAATGTTCTCTATCAGGTTCAGGTCTGGCGAATTCGCCGGCCAGTCAATAGTTGCAATTTTATTAGTCCTTAGCTATTCCTTGGTTGCTTTTGAAGTATGGATCGGTGCGTTGTCCTGTTGATAAACCACAGAACCTCCTGTCAACTCACGAACTGCATGCTGATATGGCAATAGTTATGTTTAAGATGAGAAAAGTTATACAAAAAAGGGGAAGAAACGGGCTGTGTAAATGAATTGTATCGTAGTTACATGGGAAAATCGGGCGTTACTTTGTGACGTGACTGTACGTACCAATAATTAAGAGAAGGAGATATTTAACAGGTAGGTTCTATTAAAATTAGTCGATTACTACTTCATTAAAAGTGTGCCTTTATATTTAAACATTGAAAATAAACTATATTCTTTTTGGATGGGTAAGACTGACTGTTTTGTTTTTAACGAACCCGAATTTTTTGATATTAATCCAATTTCCAACCCACAGAAAGATGAATTGCCAAAAAGTCCGTCCACTAAACATATAGTGTACTTTGATCTGTAACAATTGTTATACTTGTAATGATTTGGCTTTTGAGGCATAGTTTGACGGTATCCCAATATTATTGTCAATGATCAGCTTTAAATCACCACAGTCTAACATCAATAAAGCAATTGAATTTTTAGTATGCATGCATAAAGAAGGAACTTGTGTATTTGAACCTTTATCAAAATATAGCTTGTATTTAAAAACTATTGTAGATGCTTATCTTTCTGAATTTTTTGTTTCCAAAAGTTATTATAAAAAAATCCAAGATAAATAAAATAATCAATTAAGAATTTAAGCATCTTAAGTGAAAGGATAAATTTTAATTAAGCTTTCATTCAATGCTACATTTTGAATACACAATTTTGCAAGTATGGCAGTATAAATTTATTTGTATTTTTTTTTTTTTCTAATTTTTTATTCTAAATAAAAATTATTTCCAAGAAAAATAACATGGAAAGTATGTATATGTGCCACTTTTTAATAGTTTATTTTCCGAAGAATCAAGCTATAAAGTAATCACCATTTTATATTTTTAGATCTTTAAAGAATCCATCTTTTATCATTCAGTAGTAAGTACACATGCAGCCAACAAAGAATAATGGAATTGGTAAACTTGCCTGTCTATCCAGGAGGAAATGTAGCGATTATCATGGTTTCAGATGTTGCATTAATACTACAAAATTATAATATTGATGCATGATCAGCTAACCAAATTTCCAGAGACCTAGAAACCGAGCATATTAAAGACATAAAGGTTTTTGGTATCATGTAAATATATTGATTAGGTTAAATTCTCTAGATTCATATATAAAAAAAAAGGACAAATCTTATTTTAATAATTTGATTGCCAAGATGATGGTTGGTCCAAGCCATTTGGGTTACTTAGCATCGCATCACTGAACTGCTTTATAATTGCCTAGAGTAAATATACGACAGTCATATTAATGTATTATATTCATGCATAATTTGCATCAAGATTAGCTTTCCTTAAATAATTCTCGGGTGCCTGAGTATCATTTATTTTAAAAACATAAGGAGCAATTTCTCACCTTGTTGCTTTTTTAAAATGTATATGATATTACTATAATTCTTGGGTTCAATGATAGATTGGTTCATATATTCTAATTTTCCCACACATTTGGTAAAAAAATTGATAAGGGTAGTGTGTGGTATTTCATCATTTGTGCTGAATCGTCCCCATTTACCCTAATATGTCTTTTTCCAACGTCAAACTAGAGTCAAGTTCAACAGGATTTTCTTTCCCCGCTGATTTTGCTAAGCCCATTATTACATTTTTGGTATAACATAAAATTGCATCACCCGGGTAATGATAATACCAAGACCATGCAGTGATTTTAAAAAAGCCACATAATGATGTCTTTCCTGGCGGGTAGAAGACAGGGAATTTGGTAGAATTGGAGATAAAAAAACCCTTTTCTTCTACTTGGTTCCCTTTTCTTGCGTGTGTGCACTTTCCAATTGCACACAATTACAAGTTGTAGAACTTTTTTAAAAAATATTTCCAAATGAATAAATCTGATGTTTATTATAAACAGGGTTGGCATTGAACATGTTCAAAATGTATTCTGACTTGGTGTTCTTGATGATGGAGGTTGAATGGTGATGAGTTCGGTTGGGTTGGTGATTGAGATTGAGATGGTGGGGTTGGAGTGAGGTTGTGTGGTGGTGCTGTTGTTGATTATTGTGATGGTGGATTTTGATCTACAGCCAATGCCAACCCTGCTTTATTGGGTGTCAGATTTAATAAAATTTTCCTTTCACAAACAAGCAAGCGTCATGCGATTGCAAACCTCAATAACTGTAGAATTTTAATTTTTTCTACAGGTAAGGCAATTGAACAAGTTTGAAGGCTTCAGACAAGCGAGAGGCTTTAACACAACGTGATCGATAAACTTCAGAGCATCGTTACCCCTCCCCGAAGTTTAATTCCGTTCTTATATCATCGGGGGATCAAGTCAGATTAGCCTTTTTCACGAGGAATGTGTGAATGATTGCAATATTTGAGCAACAAAATGTTGCATATCAAATCACTTTTTAGTGTTCCCAGATTGTTCAATAGCAGTTTCCTATATGTGTATGATATATATATATATATATATTTAACATTTTAATGATAACAATGTAATGAATGCTCACGCAAAACAAATATATCAATCATTTGTTTATTATCACACGCAACAAGGAGAGCACTTTGATAAGCTTCTCCTTACTGCATACACCTTGATTCTGCAGAATGCACTTTAAAAAGTATAGATATCCTTCCTACCTTTTATTAAGCGTGTCCAGTGAGGTAACTGACTGCTATTTCCTGGGTGACACTGTGGAAGAAGACTTGCTGGAATGGACAGGATTTACAAAAGAGTCACGTAGCAACTGAGGCATAAGACTTGGCACGCGTTATCTATTGGAATATATTTTAATAATATTATTATATATATTATTAACAAATGTACCAGTTGTTTGTTTATTATCACAAGCAACAAGGAATATTATTTTCAACCTCCTTATTTCCTTATTGAAGGAGAGTACTTGGATAAGCTTCTCCTTACTGTCTCCACCCCAATCCTGCAGAATGCACTTAAAAGTATAGATATCCTTCCTACCTTTTGTTAAGCGTGTCAGTGAGGAAACTAGCCTGCTATTTGCTGGGTGACACTGTGGAAGAAGACTCGCTGTGACGGTCAGGATTTATAGAAAAGCCACGTACCAACTGAAGAATAGAATCTGGCACGCGTTATCGGTTGTAGCATATTTAATGGTATTATTATAATGTTTATTATTATTATTATTATTGATTAAATTTTTTTTTGTTTCATGGTGATCAATGATTTTCACCGTGTAGCTCATTGTTCCCATGGAATAACTGATTTGTCCCATGGAGACTAACGTCCCATGATTTAAATTCATACTGTAAAATAATAATGGTAATTTTACATATCACGGGAAATCAATAAAATGATTTACGAAAGTTGCACGCAAATAAAATCGGAAAAACTGATCAAGTATAGTGCAGGACACCTATATATTCAATTTCATATTGTTACTTAATCACTGTAATAACCAATAAAATAATGGACTCATGGAAAATATCTCAAACAACAAGTAAATATCCCAACATTCTAAAATATAGCAGACCTTTAATTTTCAGATTTAATTAAACGAAGAAATTTTAAATGATTTGATCACTTTAGAAATAACTTGAAAATAATACTACACAGAATACATTTAATTAGAATAACTAGAGATGGGCAAAATGGCGTATAGTTGAACACTATACGATACTTTATGATACTTTACGTATAGTGCGTATAGTAGTGTTGAAATTTGATTGGGTGATTTTCCAATGTAATACAAAACTGAATAAAAAAAATAATTTGGATATTAAGATCTTTACCTACACTTTTTTAGGTTTTTATTTTCAATAAAATTTTCATCAGCTTCTTTGATAAAATCTTCAATTATGTTGTAATTTATTTGTACACTAAGTATTTGAAGTATTAAAATGTTCTCCGAAATAATTTCTTTTAATTTGAATTGTGGCATTTGGACAAAGACGTAAATGTTTTTCACATCTAGATATTGAACTATATAGAACGTTAATATTAAAATGTTGCCAAATTGCAGGCAAGTTTAAAATATATGAGTCTGATTCATTTCGTCGCAAAAAAAAACTTCATTAAACAAACTTCTCCTCACACTTCCCACACAATCTGCTTTTCTCACTAATTTCTTAACTAACTTCCCACACTCCTCACATCTAACTCGTTCGGTCTCTGGCTCAAGGATGAAATAATTTTTGACGAAATGAACATTCGACGAAGTGAACATTTGATGAAACAAGCTTTCGACGAAATGAACTTTCGATGAAACAAACTTTCAACGAAATGGGTGTCGACGAAGTAAACGCGACTGAAAATATACATTATCGTGAGAAGAGTATTAATTAATTTTTATGTGTAACATAACACCTATTATTTGGCATATTTTTCTAGAACTATACGCACTATACGTATAGTACTGACCATCTCTAAGAATAACTAACACCGATTAAATTTGGGAGAGCGTATTTTAATTGGTAATAACAATTATTTTTGTATTTTTGTGGATCAGAATGAATAGGTTATCAACGAGTTGATTTTGGATTAGCGAATAATTTTGGTTAAGGAAGATAAAAGTTTTAAATAAAATAAAATATTTATTATTTTATTTATTTAGTTTTCCTTAGTCGAAACTAATTAACTTGTTAGAAAGTTATTTTTCAAGTACATTGAATTCAATCTTCTTATATACAATTAAATTGATTAGTAATTCTAATATTTCAAAATTGAAATATTGGAAAGACGATTCTTTAATAAATTATGACGTTATAAAAATAAAACGTATTACGAAAGGCGCAACACGAATAAAATAATACTAATTCATAAAATAAGATTATAAACTAAAATAGAATAATAATAAAAATTAAGAGTTTCGGAATTAGTTAATTTCAGCCAAAAGAGCGTTACGTTCTATATCAGGAATCAATATTTTAGTAGTAAACTTGGATTAAATCTTGATTGATTTTGGTGTGTAACATTTTTATATTTTGTGCAACAAATGAATGTCCCATGCTATTGTCGCGAGCATGGTGGAATTTCTCTTTATCACATTTATCACTTTGTGACGATCTCAAATTTATGTTGTGTGACTATATAATTTTAAAGTACTTCGTATAATAAAAATGTATTTTACAATTGCGAATTTCTTGTTTTTGTATTACAATGTATATAAAAAATAATTCTTTCATATATTAATATAAAGAAGATTGCCTGGTTAAAATTTAATCTTGATAACATAAGTATTCATAAAGTTTTAATATAAGCAATCAAAATTATATGGTGTTTTTTAGCTAATTTACTTTATTTTTAACAAAACAATTTTTCTATTAGGATATTAAAGGAAACTATATCATTAGATACAACATATTGAGAAAGTTATTCATTTGAAATTTTAATCTCGATAACACAAATATTAATGAAGGTTTAATATAAATGTATTTTCATTTAAATTACATGCATATTAATAAATAATATGTAGAATTTTGGAATTAAGACTAATAATTTTATTTATTTTCATTAATTATGTTATATAGAATTTACCAATTCTTTATGTCATTTTTAGCATTTAAAAATAATCTATTTATATATTCTTGATTTATTTTAATTGTATTAGATTCATCATCCTCCTCATCAATTTCATCACTATCTCCACCACTTTCCAAATCATCCAATTCTATGTCTTCCGACCCTTTTTCTAATCGATTTATGAAGCTTTTGACATTTAAAGAAACACCTTTTTTATAGAACTCCAAACAGTGACCACATTTCTTTTCTAAATATTCATAACAATTGTAATGATAACTATGGCCACAAATCAATACACACCCATCATCAAATGTTTCATTACAATGATCACACGAATTATTTTTTGGGGGATGGGCTGTATGATAACCAGCAGGAAGTGATTTTAAATCTACTATTTTATCTAAAGTAGCTAATTTATATTTTTCTAATTTTTGTTTCTTATAGTATGGTTGACTAGCGTTTAAATTTTTATAGACATTGGAAAAATAATCAATTAAAAAACAACTAGTTTTTTTAGTGAGATAATCTAAAGCTGCTGGAGTATATGGATATTTTTTATTTTTTGAAAATGCTTCGATGAATGGTGATCTTTTATTAGAATCAACAATAAATGCTTCTTCTATTATTGAGTTGGGTGAGGAAAATTTGTTTGTCTGAGCTCTTATTCTACTGTGTATATTTTCAACAAAATAATCATTAAAATTCACTAATGAATTTTCTAATAATTTAGCAAATGGATGATTATTGTCCTTCCAATAAAAGTAGTCAGACAAGAATGCAAGTGGAAGTTTATTGTAGTTTTTTCTATTCCATCGTAAGAAAAATGTCCAAATACGAAAGATAGTTTGGAGATATTGATCAAAGGCTCCAGATCGAAAAAGGATTGTGTATATATCTAAAGTAGCTGGTATTATATTGTCCAATAGATCAATCATCATTCTATATTCTACATCTTTTGTTTTTTCAAATTTTTCTAATATATCTTTTGAAATTTTCAACCATGCATCATGAGTCAATTGGAGAAGAAGATTAATGCGCCACGGTTTAGGTTTTTGTGCAAATTTTTTCTTTTCAAGTACAGTGCAAAATAGTTTTTTGAAGAAATCATAATGTATATGAATAACATTTTCTCTTGAATTTAAAGAAACATGCAGTGGACCCAACATTGGAACAAAATTCTGAATACCTTCAAAACTACTTAATTGATTATTCATATACAACGTAATAGCCTTTCTAATAAAAAGTTGTCCTGGAAAATCAGCTATTACTGGTATTACATAAATTTTAGTAAACTCTAATAATCCATCTATATTTGTTATCATTTTAATTGCTAATAAATAATCTTTTAAGGAACGAAGACTTTGTTGTTTTATATCAATTAATTTTACTGATTCCATAGATCTTTCTTCTTTTTTTCCTTCAATATCTGCATCATATATATGAACTTTTAAAAGTTCAACATGATCAAAAAGTTTATCACCAAGAATTTTATTATTAATCCACTGTGATTTTATATCATTGTAACTTATATCAAAAATTCCCATATATTCATTAATTAGTTTAGTGTTAATTAATGAATCATCAATATTTTTAGGATTAATAATAGGTATATTATTAAATTTAGCAGGAACTGCAAGAGCATTCTCAATTTTTTTAGCAACACATGTTGCCATATGTGTTGCTGAAGATAATGATGTTGAATCAGGTCTTCTCCACTCATGGATTGAATGGTAATCATCAATATTAAAACAATGCATGTATTGTAAATTTTTTAAAAAATATTCCTCTATCATTTTTTGATGATTTTCAGCAATTTTTTTTTTATAACTTTGTATTGTTTTATAACAAGCTGAGATACCCGTGTTTGACAAAGTGTCAAGTGCTGCAGCATTTGTTCCATTTGCTTCTAGATAGAGTCCAAGATCCAGTTTAAAATTATTCACGAATTTATTTCTTATACCAGCTAAAAGGTAGCAATAACCTACAATAGCTTTTTTTGTTGATTCCTTATTTAAATGAGAATGATTTTTTGGAATAATATTTATTAGTTCATCAAAAAATCCTATTAATTTTGGTTCCTTTTCCTCAACTAATCTACAAAAATCTGCAGATCCAACACAATGTCATTTTTGAATTTTCTTTGTTGTTCATAAAGAATGTTTGTTAATAATTCTATTTTATCAGCAAATGATAATGTACCTATAAATAGAAAATACAATCAATACAAGTAACATAATAAAAAATAACATAATTACTATACCCACTTTTTTCTGATTGTTGTTGAACTGTTAAATAAACATTACTAACATCAATTAAGTTCTCAATTTCTTTGATTTGATTACTTTTTTTTCAATTGTTGATTCTAAATTTTCAATTTTTGAAATTAATGAACCAAAGTATTCCTTTGATGGAAGAACACCATTTTCAGTAACATTTATTTTTATATTATCATTATTTTTGGAAATTTCTTCATAGATTTTATCACTTCTTAATTTTTTATTGTACTTGTTAAACTCTACATATTTCATATAATGAATATGACAAATTTGATCATTTTTTTTTAAATAATTCACACTTCCATAATCTGGGCTTTGTTGTAATTTATTAAGTGCAAGGTCTGTCATAGTCTTAAATTTAACTTCAGTATTTTTGCAATTAATAATTGTGCAGGGACCACAATTTTCATTTTTTCTATGCATTTTTTATATTAATAATGATTAGTATATAGTAACAGGAAAGAATTATAGCTATTTTTTAATATTATATATAAGAATTTTTATTTGAATTTTCAAATTTACATGAATTACTTTCCTATTTATAAGTTTTTGAAATCTAAAAACAAATTAGATGAGAATATCCTTGAAGTGTTGAACGTGAAAGAGTTTCACGAAGCGAGTGTTTAAACGCGAAAGAATTACACAAATTGGTGTTACTTGGAATCTAAAAATAAAAATGGCCGAAATTACATAATAAATTCTAATTTTGGTGATTCAATTTTGTCACGTTTCACAACCAATCAAATCAAACTTCCACCATGCTTCCAAAATAATGGTTATAAAGCCGATGGTGTATTGGAATTTTTCGAGCAACCCAAGCAAATTCCATTGTTTTTGCTTGAGGTCTCAGAAGGTCCTAATAATCCGGACCTGGATAAGGTTAATGGAGACAGAAAGAAGTTGATGGATGAGGGTGTTTTTGCTCTTAATAAGTTTATGATAAGTACCGAGTTAGCAATATGGAAAGTGTGTGAAACATTGAATGTTTTCCTGGCCCAAGGATTTGGTAAAATTTTTAAATCTTTTTAATATTTTTGAACCTGCAGGTGATTCTTTTACTTCAAATCTAATACACTTCTTGTTTACTTAATTGTAGCTGATAAAATCGAAATTGGCCAATTGATATTTATTGGACCCGGCTTGTACTTATTTTCACCATTTACAATTCCAGCTCCTACTATCCCAACTTCCTTTATCAATTTAGAACATGCACCTAGACTTGTCCGAACACTCTTATGTTTATGATACAACATTATTAAAAAAATCAAGTGGTATAAGGAATTCTCAAAGGAAGGACAGCGACTTATTGCAAAACCTAAAACTAAATACGCAACTGGATTCACACCAGATCGGCCAAAAGCTGTGAGATTTGAAAATTTTTTGCCCAAAATCTCAAAAGAAACAAATAGGGGAAGGGGAAGGGGAAGTATGAGAGGTCGTGGTAAGGGAGTATAGCTTCACAAGTTGGAATTCATTTAAATAAATATGGGGTCTGTACTAGGAAATCGAGCTTCCAGCTATTTTTTTTTTTTTTGTCTTTTTACTCAACAATAATCTCTAATAAAGGATTTACAGTTGGTGAAAAAATTGGACCCTGATTGCATAGTAGAAAAATGAGATACAAGGCTTGGAATATTTTCTTTATATATTAAAAACATATGTGTAACCAAATTTATAAGGGTTGTTACTAAAAATAGATTTATTGTCTGGAAGGTTGATTTTCCTAGTACAAACCCCAAATATAAAAATTTTTTAATTTTATGTTTGTACAAAAAATAGATATATTAACTCAAAGTACCTTGCTGATGGTTAGATTTTGGTGTTGTCCCACAATCCATACCATGAGAGTGTAAATTTCCTCCTGTCGCCCGATGTTTAAATCCAACAATGGTATTAAAGTACACAGGACTTCCTGCACTTTCGCTTGTACCACATGCTCCAATAACAGTCCAAACATCATTTTTCAAATCTATTTCCTGACCATTACCTATAACCTTTTTAAATTTTATAAATAAAGTTTATAATGTTAAATATTATAATATAAATAACAATCAAGAAAAAATAATAATGAACACCATATATTGTTCGAGAAACGCTATGACCCCTTTAGTAGATAAATATTTTCTGGTAGGCACATGAACAAGAGCAACTTTTGACCCTTTTACAATTGGCCTTTTCTGAAATTCATTATTTAGAAAAAATAAAATAGTTATAACGAGCAAATTGTAAAAGCTCACAATGTGAAATTCTAAAGTATCTCACGAAAAAATCTTCCTTCACTTCTTCAGCGGATAAGCGCCAGTTGAAATAACGAAAATTGCTATTTGATAAAATGGTCATTTAATATTTTTGTGATTTAGCTTAATTTCATTATTATAAATGCATACCTAATTTCTCCATTAATCGCACCCCAAGAGAAAGCACGTCCAACATACAGCGGTCCATCATTGAAGATAACCTTTTGCACTTTAACATCCTGGATGCTATAGTATCTGGTCCACTCACCGTCTATGTAGAAATCTAATTTTTTTTTCAGAATCAGAAAGTGTATAAGTTAGATGGTACCATTTGTTTAAAAAAAGTCCGGGAGTGAGCTCATCAATTCCTGCATTACAATCCCAGTTCCCTGTGAAGCGAGCATGCAATTTATCTCCTCCTAGCCAAAGTCCAGGCGTGCGGATTAAATCTTCAGTACCTAAATGTATTTATATTTCATTTGAGCCAAAAAAGTGCTAGTTAGACAAAAATAAATTTTAATTTTGCTGTCCAAAGCCTTTCTTACAAAAAGCATACCTTTGTGAAAAATAGTATCATAGGAAAGGGAATGCTCCATAAGTCTCAATCGTAATGTCATTGACAGCTGATCTTTCACCACGGGCAAGTCAGCATGGTTAAAGATACGTTGATCTTGCCCTCTCAACATAATAGGATCTGAAATAAGTTCAGCCCACTCTTTGACGGCGAATTTCTTCATTTTTTATGAAATAATAATAGATTAATAAATTTAGTATGCAAGATTTTATATCTTCCAATACAAGTATTTATATATGAGTATCATTGATTATGGGAAGCTTCTGTTTCACGAATCCAGCCCTTTTATATATAATCCCAAATCTATTTTAAGATTTCTTTGGCAATCGTATATATATGTAGTTTACATCGCATGTAAAATTTATTGAATGTATAATTCGGGAACATAAAAATTGATCAATGAATTTTTTTATAGGCATTATACCTTATAAATTTGGACCTTAAGTTTCACGAAATAACTTTTTGAAAATGCTATTTAAGATTGATTGTTTCTAAATTTGTACAGAAAGTCAAATCAAGTTATTGGACATGTAATTCTGACTTGTTTTTCACTAACAGGACAGTGCGTAGTTTGCATAATGGTTCCCCAAATCTATAATAAGTATAATCACCACATAATTAATATAACATTGAATATATATTAAAATAATACATTCATTTTATTTTTGGGCGAAAAGACAAAAAATTCAGGATTATAGTGTGTTTAGAGTTGATAGTGGAATACCTTTTTTGTTGTTAATTTCATCACACCTGGCGAAATTGACGAAGTGGTGAATGTGACAAAAGGACGAAAAATATGACAAAAAGTAGAAAATATAATTAATTAAAAATAATCAACAAATTTATATGTGCTCTTAAAGTAAGTTCATATCCACTTGTTCATTTAAGATTTTTCATTGAAATCTCATAATCAGCTTCAATTTGTAAATGATAATTCAAGTGTTGAAGATAATCCTAACTATATAGCCTATTAGAAATTCTAAAGGTCATTTTCTGCTAAATGTTTGCACTATCCCAAAAAGTTTCAAAGTGGAGACTTGCAGCTCATTTAGCAAATCACTGTATTAGATGTGGCCTGCATTCCATTCTTCAGAACAGAAGTGATTATTTTTATGATTGTGAAGTTAATGAAACTGGCAGTTGTTTATTATCTGAAATAGAGATGATTGTTTGGAACGATTAGGTAAAATTTTTTTTGAATTTGTTAAATTTTTTTTCTAGTAATTAAATTTATTATTATTTGCGTCCTGAGGCAACTTTCACTATAGTATGAAATCAAATTCTAATGACTTCAACAGCTGTATTTTTATTTATTTATTGGTTTAATTATTTCTTATTTTCATTGCCATAATAAACTGTCAACAAGAACATCACGATCATCATAACAATAATAATGAAATATTTAACATTGCCATGTGATGAAATTATTAAGCCATTAATGTGGTGGTAAGCTCATGGTTGGGATTAATAGTTGTTTTGACTTCACCAGGCTCCAAGAAAGCCCATGATTTTATTTCTATATCATACCATTGACTATTCATCATCATCAATTCTTTATTATGATAGTGTGCACCATTATCAAATAATGCTTCAATCCACAAAAGGGGTTTTTCTATTGTAAAAAATAAGGCATCGAACGAGGAAGCTGTAAACCATGTTTTTTGTATTGGAACAACGGACCAATGACCCAAAGCCTCTATAGTCAGCTATTATGACAGTTTCATCCTTATCTAGATGAAGTAAATATGCATTTAGACCAGTATTTCTGGCTATAATGCTGTAATTTCAATTATTATTTTTTTTAGCAGAACCTGTTGGAACTTGGCTACATTTTTTACAACTAATTGGATGTTGTTTTTTGTAACCTCCAAATACAATTTTAAAACAATGCTCAATGCAACTGTCATGTCGAACATGCCAGATGACATCAATAATTAATTCCTTGTCATAATCTTGTTTCAAATGACATTCAATAAATATACTGTCATTCGCTTTTGACTGTCTAAAGGTGGACGAAAGCGTCCTTGCTGAATACAGGAGAATTAACCACCTGAATCAAATGAGTTTAAAGGGAATCAGTCAAGCGTTGGTTAGCATTGGTGCATGCCTCATTGTATAATCAAACATAGCAAGATGTCAATTGATTTATTACATAAGCATACTGAATTGAAGAACTTGTTCTTATACGAATTAAAATTATTTTGAAAAATGACCAAGTTATCAAGTACTTCATAACTTTATTAGTGACTTACAAGTGATTATTAACTGTTATTAAATATAGGGTTAAAAATTTTGACATCTAATGCTGAAATTGCAAAAGATCGTCTTCTCAATTACATTCAAAAACTCAATGACTTTGAGAAAATATATGACATATAATCTATTAACAAATTGTGAAATGGTTATAAAAAGAATTTTTTGCTTTACGTTTACAATTCATGCCTTCACGTTTCACCGCTTTCATACCTTCGCATTTTCACGCTACTCTTTATTATTCCAGATAAATAACATTTCTGTCCTCCGACTCCTCCAAATCAACATCCTATTAGTAGTCCAATTATGACTTGCAAACGTGGTAATTTGCAGCAATCAGGTTATCACCAACAATCTCGTGACTATTCTTTTCGATTTTTGATCGTTATAATTCTGATGAAATTGTTTATGATCTTTATAAAACTATGTATTAGAATAAGTTGTGTTACACAGTGAGTCTCGGTATAACGGATATGTTTGTTCCATACTATACCGAGTCATCCGATATCCATAAAAAATCGAATTTTTGATTAAATCATGTGATACACGTTACGTTAAAAAATTATTTTTTATTTTTGAATAATATGACATTGTTAATATTTAATAATTACTTATTAGCTCAAAAGAGTGAATATCATTATCCGTAATATCGAGAAAATTTTTAAAAAATATCCAATAAACCGAATTTATTATTATTATTATATGAAAAATCCGTTAAATCTGTTAAATCCGTTAAACCGAGATAAAATAATTGTAGAAAAATTTGGGTTTGAAAATTTATCCGCTAAAACCCCAAATCCGCTATACCGAGACTCACTGTGTATCTGGATCGGTACTTATTAATTTTGTCTGACATTTTTTTTATTTTGCAAAGTGAAGAATTTATCATAATAATTTATATTGAATTTAATTTCGACTATGAAGATAAGGAAGGTATTTATGTAGGCGAAAATTATAAAGAAAAATTTGCTGAAGGAGAAATTGTTATGGAAAAATTTCCATATGGTAATTTTGTAGTTGTAATAAATCTACCAGCAGAGTAAACAGAAATGAAGGCAAGCATTGGAGATGAAATCCAAGATGGATTTAGTGAGATAATTTTAAGTCAGAAAATAAATCAAAACAAAAACAACAAGATTTAACAACGAACCAATCAGTTGATAAGTTTATATGCTAAGATTATTTTATTTTATTTTTTCTATTTTCTAGGTTTATTTATTACAAAAAATGAGATATACTGAAAATAAAAAAAAGTTTTGTTAATTAAATACATTGAAATGAATGAATAAGTGAAATTATATGTATAATTACATTTGAATACAAATGAATGAATATAAATGAGTGTATGAGTGAATGAGTGAATGAGTGAATGAGTGAATGAATTGATTAATGAATGATGTTGAATATAAATGAATGAATGAATTTATAATCTATAATCAATAAATTGAATTAATCTAATGATGTAATGATGCAAAGATGCAAATGTAATGATGCAAAGATGCAAATATAATGATGCAAATATGCAAATATAATGATGCAAATATGCAAATATAATGATGCAGAGATGCAAAGATGGTAATGTTTTTGTTGTATACATTGAAAAAGTATGACACCGCTCAGCGGACTTTAAAAAATTATATAAACAAAATCAATGATACATTTTTTTAAAATCCCAAAGTAGGGCTTGGTAATGAAATATTGAATTCAATACCGTGAAATTTACTTTGAAGTGGACTTGAAGGAGCTGAACGAATTTCTGGATTATCATCATCGTTATCACTTGATCTATTTATAAACCAACTGTATTCATGATTATGATTTGATGATGATGAATTTAAATTTTCAGTCGAACGAAAACGACGATCCGCTAATGATAAATTATTAGACTGATCGGTTGTTGCTAATGATGCTAATGATGATGTTGAGTCTGAGGAAGAGGAAGAGGTGAGTGAATATGTTTTTGGAGATGTTGAAGCTGATATACTTGGTGTTGATGATTTAGATTTGGATTTAGATTTACTATCAGACCTTAACAATAACTTGCCTAAAGATTGTGCCAACGAATTTTGGCTTTTCTTTTGTCGAAGTTTATGATATCTCTCATCATTTGGAATTAATTGTGATGATGATGAGGAAGGAGATGGTGGTGATGATGATGGCGATGATGATGTTGTTGATGATGGTGGTGACAATGCTGGTGGATATGGAGAAGAATTGAAATCATCATTTGTTGGTGTTACAGGTCTTGTATTATTATTGGAAGAAAGTTCATCGTCATTATCATCAGTTAATATTTGATTATTATTATTGTTATTAACGATTCCAATAACATCATCGTATGAAGGTAAACCACCATCGAAATCATTTTTTTCAGGTACAGTGGTAATAGTAATAGGAAAAGTCAATTCTAATCTTTTTTCATTTTGATCTTGGAATTTCAATGTGATTTTTAATTTATGCCTAACACGTATCAATGGACTTTTTATTGAAGCCTTTAATTTTGTTTTTTTGCTTGAGTCAGAATCAGAAATAGCATGACTAGTGAATGGCAAGTTGCAAGTTAAAGGAGAATTCCAACAATCATCATCGTGGTGGATATTCAATGTGGTTGGTTTTATCGGATGAGATCTCACACGCTTTAAAGATGATGAGCCGCTTAATTGAACATTACCAACAAGTTGAGCGCCATCAATAGCAAAATCTCGAAGATCTTGGTTAGTTGGATGAATTCTATAATATAAATGATTATGTTTTATGATTAATTTATCATTATTATGATTATAATAATGATGATGATAATGATGATAAAACATACCTATATTTTTCAGATTGTATCATATCAAAAGAAACTTTTTCAATCTTTCCTTGATCTGTTAAAGGCAATAATCTGAGTCTAACCAGTATTGATTTGTCATCAATGCACGTGATAGTAGGCACATCCAACTCATATTTTAGAATATCTTTCCGTTGACCTTTATAGACTTTTGTGGGAGGAGCGGGCAACAGATCTCTTTTGCAGGGTAAATAATGTCGGTGAAAAGTGATTGGTTTTTCGACTCTTCCATATTTTGTTAAGAGCGAAGCTGGCTGAACTGTTGCAACCAATTTATATTTTATTAGACCAAAAGGGGTGACATATGTTTGAGGAATGTTGGCAGGTAATTCAAATTCGTAATCCAAATCGGTTACACCAAGTGGTAAAGTAAACTTTTCGCGAATTATGTTTTCGTATTTTGCAACGTTTATGCAAGAGTATTGGTTCTCCCAGTCGGAAAATTCCGATTTTCCCTTCAATTGTATTGCGACGAATTTTGTTTTAAGTGGTTTTGAAAGGACGATGCGTAATTTACCAGATAATTTGACTGTTGCGTCTTTATCAGGAGCACCATACATTATCACTTTGCCATCATTACATGGTAATATATCTATAGCTATTATACTATTATTCATTTTTTCTATCCGTCTATTTCTATATATGTATATGTGTGTGTGTGTGTGTGATGTATAATGAATGATAAAATAATCGTTCTATTTAATAAAAATAATCAATATTTTTCTTTATGATTAATAAGGAATAAGAGGGGGGGAGGGAATAATGATTTTTAAATAGTGATGCAAATGAAAAAAATTAGAAAATATTGAAATTTCGGATTGGGTTATTTTTGCGTTTTATTTATATAAATTATCTGTATTTAATATAGCCTAATATAAAAATAGGGTTCAAAGACATTAATTTCTTAAATTTCTCAAAATAACATAACAACATATCGCAAAAAACAACAAAAACAACATTGACAACGTAATAAAGTAATAACATAATGCACACAAAGATACCATAATAGAACAACAACATTTTTTTCATTATATTAATTTTATTTAGCATCAGCATAAAATAAAATTGAAAGTTTCTCCCTATGTTCTAAATTTAGAAATAAAATTTCTATTTAAAGAAATTTTCAATTTTTTAATTATATTATTGTACCATAGCTAATTTTTATTAACAGGAAATGATGACAAAGAAAAAACAAGGAATTTTCCATAACTAAAAATTTTAAGTCTATGTGGTCTATATGATGTAATATAAAAATCCATTATGCACACTTTATTTATTATTTATCACCAAACCTTAATTGGTAAAGAGAAAATTCAACAATAATCGATTGATTGGTGGGTGTAAAAATCGTTATATTTTATTGGTTAAAAATATGATTGGACAAAAAGTAACATGATTTACATAATATTTATAACCTTATTGGTGTGTGTATAATAATAACTAGTTACAAATAATAATAAATTATATAGACTTTATAAATAATTAACGTTAAGCAGATGAATCAACTTTGGCAATATGTGAAATTAGATCAACAACACGAGTTGAGTAACCGTCTAAAAAATAATAATTATATTAATTAATCAATAGGTTTTTTAATTGGTGAATGAAAACAAAGAAAAAAATAATTCATAACTTACATTCATTATCATACCAAGAAACAAGTTTAACAAAAGTTGGGCTTAATTGAATTCCTGATGGTAAAAATTAATCGGCATTAAATGCTTGCAAAATATATCCGGTCATTATTGTTAAATGACGTTACAATTATTACTTACCAGCTTTAGCATCAAAAATACTAGAATTTGTATCGCCAATGAAATCAGTAGAAACGACCTAAAATAAATCAAGCAAATCATTAAATTTCTATCCGCCAAAAAACAACAACAAAAAAAAATTTTTAATAATTTTAGTCCGACTTACATCATCTTCAGTGTATTCAAGAATTCCTTTTAATTCGTTTTCAGATGCCTGTTTAATTTTCTGCTTGATTTCTTCATAGTTGGTTTCTTTTTTCAACCTAACGGTTAAATCAACTACCGAAACGTCTGCTGTTGGAACTCTAAAGGCCATTCCAGTGAGCTTTCCATTTAATGATGGAATTACCTATAATTAATTAATTATATACATATACATTTATTTATTTGCTTATAGTACCATTTATGTAAAGTTCATTTAATAATATTTAATTAATTACTTTTCCGACTGCCTTGGCTGCTCCTGTTGAACTTGGAATGATATTTTGAGATGCGCCTCTTCCACCTCTCCAATCCTATAAAATAAATAAATAAATAAATAAAATTATTCGTTTAAAATCTACATGACAAATCATTATTCTTATTATTAATAATTACTTTTCCGGAAGGTGCATCAACAGTTTTTTGAGTTGCGGTGGTTGCGTGAACTGTCGTCATTAATCCTTCTTCAATACCGAAATTGTCATGAATAACTTTTGCTAATGGTGCCAAACAATTGGTTGTGCATGATGCATTGGAAATGACTTGATATTCAGGTTTATAAGCATCCAAGTTTACACCGCAAACAAACATTGGTGCATCTGCACTTGGTGCACTGATAATAACCTAGTACATACATATAATATATGTTTCATTATTAGAAATTCTCTAGCAAATCATTAATTTAAATTTATTAGATAAATCTAATCAACAATCAGTTTACTTGCCTTCTTAGCACCCTAAAGTTGTTAATTTAATGAAAAGAAATATATAATTATTATCGTTTTTAATAATTTTCTTAATAATCAAAGGATAATTAAAATAATTCAACATACCCCTAATATAATCAAAGTAATAAAAAATTAGATTTTTTTTTTTAAAAAAAAAAAAAAATATTATAATTGTAATAAAAAATAATATACCTTTCAAATGAGCAGAAGCTTTGTCAATGGTGGTGAATATACCAGTCGATTCAACAACGTAATCAGCTTGGATTGATCCCCATGGAATTTGAGCTGGATCTTTTTCGGCAAACACTGAAATTTCTCTACCATCAACAATAAATTTTCCATCTTTGACTTCTACTTGCCCTTTATATTTTCCATGAGTAGAATCATATTTAAAAAGATAAGCCTATTGATCATAGTATAATTAGTGTCGTTGCAACGTTTCTCTATTTTCATATATATATATATATATATCCATACCATATATTTCAAATCCAAGAAGGGGTCATTTAAACCGACAACTTGAACTTCAGGATTGTTAAGAGAAGTACGAAGCACAAGACGCCCAATACGTCCGAAACTAAAAATGTTTATAAAAAGCCATTAAATTTGATTCATTAATTTATTTAATAATTAATTATCAAAAAAAGTTTTTAATTATTTTAATTAATTAATAGTATCTATCCTTATTAATTTATTAAAATAAAACAATTCAATTTTACCCATTAATTCCAATTTTAACTGTCATGTTTTAAATTAAAAATTGTATTATTTGTATATAGAACGAGTTGAAAAAAGATATTTAATTTTTAAAAAATTTTAACTATTACTATTTATTATTATAAAAAAATCGTCCCGATTATTATCGTCATCATGACATCTTGAATTCATACCATAATAAACTTATTCCAAGAATAGCACGATCAACATAAAAAAATCGTACCATAATAATGACGGACAATTACAATTAACCGAGGAGGTCATGTGTTCTATATATGCTAGAAAATTTATTTATAGATGGATAGTTCCCACCCATTATTATTATAACAAAGGTGAGTGATCACCATAACAAAAATTAGTTATTTATTTATATTACCAAGTATTTTATCGAGATTACATACATATTAATAATAATGTACTATGGTGCACGCCATCTAACATCAAATGCTGCGCCAGGTGCAAACTTTCAAATCCAAATAGCAATGATATTCTTTGGTGTCACACGATATTATAGAATCGTAAGGTTTTTTATAAATTTGAATATTCGAAGTTTATTTGAATAAACAAATAATAATAAATAATAAACGAATAAAACGAATAATTCGAATTCGAATACACAAACAAATGAATAAAATGAATAATTTGAACCAAATAAATGAATAATAATAATACGCATAATACGAATAAAATAATAAAATGAATAATTTGAATTCAAATAAACAAATAAAATGAATAATTTGAATTCAAAATAAACAAATAAAATGAAATAATAATAATAATGATATATAATAAAACGAAAAAATAATTCGAATAAAATTTTTTTTTTTTTTTAATATTTATATACAAGGAATTTAGGGGAGACTTCGACGTTACACGTAATATGATCCAATAAAATTTATTTTTAAAATTTTGAGATACCGACATAGGGTTATGAGCTTATATCAGAGTGCAATGATGCCATTTTGGGCACTCCCCTTAATAAACTCAGATATTGTTTGTTTTCTCCAATTTTGTTCTGTTAAATACAGTGCGGATCATCTATACTCAAAAGTTAAAATTTTTGAAATATTATCTGATCCACAAATTGGATTTTAAAAAAACCACCACCATTCAATTCAGCTTTAAAAAGGAGTCTATTAATCTATAAAAAAAAATTTGTCCCTTCATAAATTTTTAAATTTGAAAGTTATGCTCAAATAATTTTCGTGTTATATACAATATTTTGAATCCCACGACCAAATTTGGTAATGATTTTCTTTTGATGTAATACGTTCGTTAAACTTTTTTGTTGTAAAGAACTTTTATTTATTAATAAAAAAAGGAAATAAAAATAAATCAAATAAACCAAATGTATGTTGTAGAAAATTTTATGAAAAAAAGTTGTTACACGAAATTTACTTGGTCTCAATTTCTTAAGTGTATAACAAAACTCGGAATTCTCAAAATGCTAAGGCTCAGCCAATTTCCAGTTTAAGAAAAAACCAGCCAATAAGTTTTGAAGCTTGAGTCATGAACAATAAAACTTATCAGTTAAATTTTTTTAAAATGATATAAAAATTTTTTGTTTTAGTATTTTGAAGTTGACCAATTGTTACTACGTATAAGCAATTAATTGATTATAGATGATCTACACTGTATATAAATTGGGGCATGCTGCAACAAAACCAGACAAAGTGAACATTTGTATTACCAAAATTTCAGGGGTCAAAATTTAGTAATGTGATTACTAAAATCACCCATCTGTTATTTTTGTTTTTTCTCTAGTACTATTACTATATATATGAAACTCATTTACATCAAATCTATTATGGGACATATTGTCATTGTGTTCTTAATATCATGACAAATGTTCTTGTAATTGAATGGAAGGAGTGTAAGTTTAAATGTAAACACAAGTATCCCAGATATTTAGATATTTAGACATTTTCAACATTACAGCAAACCAAATAGCCTTGATGAGTATATTTTGACAGTTGAAATGTCTAAATATCTGTTGAAATTATATATTTCAGCTAACAATTCTAATGAAGCTGTAATAAAACAAACTAGATGCACTTTCTTAATATTAAATTAAAATATTAAATCCTGTTTATTATATTTATTTATATTACTTTTATAATAACTAATTTTTATTAACATTATTGCTGGTAATAAATAAAAAATTAAGGTGAACTCATTGTTGTGAAAACACTATTACCAGAATCTGGTTCCAGTTTTATTCTTTTGGCTTGAGGTGGTGTAGTTGGTCTAGTTACAACAGTTTGAAGAGTTTGAAGAATTGCATTGTTAAGATCGTTAATATAATTTATGGTTTCTTTTGAGCAATAACGGTTTTCCACATAGCTGGATTAAAGATTCTGCTGATTCATTTAAATCAGATGGATATTTAATTCCCCAAATTTTTTCACCACTTTTTAAATTATTGTTCTTTAAAAAATAATGAATAAGCTTATAGGAGTCCTTAACAAATTGATTTAATCTGAAAAAGTCTTCATGAACATGACTTTTGTGACTAGAGTTGTTTGACCATGGACCATTACTAAATTCTGAATATAGAAACTCATAATTGATCGGATAATTTTTCACAAAATAAAATGCATCAGGACATCTAATCAAATTTTGATCATCTAGATTTCTATATAGAGTTGATTGTGAAGGAGAGCCATTCCTAAAATATTATGTATATATATAGTTAATATTGCAAGCAAGCGGTCCAAGTTTGACACTATGAATGCTATTATGACACTAGCCCTTTACTAATGCTTTTGTTAATAGCAAACTCTAAAACCTTACTTTCCTTTACTTTACTAGCTAGTTTTCCTTTTATAATATTAGTGTTGGCCACTAACTGCCCTTATTATTGCAGAAGAATTCTGGTAGGTCTCCTCTGTTTTATCCTCCAGCTGCACACGACATTCTATATACATCTATAAGTCCTAAGGATGTCCTCTTGGATACATTATTCAATAATGTAATATTAAAAGGTATTCACAAAGAAAGTTTATTTAATAAATTATGAAGTGAATTATTATTATTATGGACATGATTATATATACATAATTATTACAAGCTGGACAATTTCAAGCTTATTTATAACTATTGAAGTTATACAAATAACATGACCTTTACATGATTCCATCCAATAAAATATACTAAAGTTGAATTATTAATTCATACAAATATTTACATCATCTGAATGATAAAAATATAAATAAGATTATAAAATAAGTAATATGGCTAATATTATAGATAAGATAAGTGTTCTAAGAATTCTATTGTGATGTCCTTTTGTCTACAAGGAACTTCCCTCCGATTACCATGCTTCGCGCAGTCTAAATATTTGGTTTATCTTCCAAATCACGTGACCACCACAGTAAATTACTTTGATTAATTGCATTCAGCTTGGACTCTAGGTCAGTCCCTCTTTTACTATCTTACAATATATAATATTCTCAATATTTACATTAAAAATTGCAAGTAGTAATTACCATCTTGATTCAACATTATTGATGTCATAAAAAAGGAAACTCGTAATCTTATTGATTACTTGATGGGCATAGCTATTTTCATTTACAGTAGGTCATATGATTTTATTTCCCAAATCTCTTTAAAATCTTTAGCTAAATTGATCATTGCTAAATGTAACAAGTGATTTTGATCATTTAATTTGATATTAAAATTGCCATTTAAAACAATTTCTTTTATGAGGTTTTTCTGATCCAATGTAAGCTCAACTTGATATTCAGTATCATCAAAGGTATAAAAATTAATGTTTTCTTTGCAAATATTCTTATAAAGTTCTGGATTTTCTTCTAATAAGCTTGAACCACATATCATCCCTTCTGCTAAAAGATGGCTATTTTGCACTTCATTACATGTTTGTACCAAATTGAGTACAGTTAATTGATGATCTGCAAATAAATGAGTGTGTCATACATGGGATGTCCACCAGCAAAAGGGGGTCTGAGACTATTAAATTGTTCTGTGTTATAATCAAAACAAAATTGGTTACACAAATAGTTTTGATATGTAAAGTAAATATTTCAAGTCTTGTATCTCATTATTGTACTAGGTAAACATGTTCTAAATTTTTCACCAACTATAATCCTTATGATATAGATATACATTATGCAAAAAACTCAATTTTGGCCAGGAGTTCTCAGACCCCCATATTGCTGGTGGACATCTCACATAGTAAAAAATGAGGGAAATTTGACACAAAACAACTAATCGAGTACCTTTGCATGAAAAGTGGTATATACTATACTTTTGTTCCACCACATAATTTTTTTTTACATCCACAAACAAAACAAATCTCAAAGAACATATTATCAATTTTTTTTTGTCTTTACTTAAGTAAAAAAAAAAGTTTACTCTTTAGCACCTGTAGATTTTTAAGAGTTTTCATATAAAAATTTTTTCCATTTTCCATGTAATGGTTGTATTATTTATTAAAAACATATAATTTATTTGTCTTCAAAAGTAATAAATAAGAAAAAAAAAATTTTTTTTTATTAATTAGATGATGGTAGAATATGGACCAGCTTAGAGTCTTACTATCAGAACAAACTTTCTGCGCCAGTGGCTGGAAGTCAAAGCGGAAAACACACTATGAGAATTAAACAAGACATGAAAGAAATAGACAAGCAATCTGACTGTGTGTGTTTACAGCCTCCTACTTTCTGTGATGTTGACTAAATCAAGAGAGTATTTTACTTTTTTCTATATTACCAGCTAAAAACATGCCTTTTAATTATTTAAATCAAACTTCTTACCATCCTTCTTTCCATACCTTTGATTACACTTTAGAGCAAATCCAGGTTTCCAATAGGTTTTCAAATTCATATTATTGTCACCAATTAATTTTCGGGAGAGCATGTGTTAGAATGAATAGGTTACTAAACAAATTAATTTGCTATTAATGGATAATTTTGTTTAAAGAAGATATAATAAGAATATTTATTTAGTTGGAAGTAATTTATTAACTTATTACTAAGTTAACTTGTTACAAAGTTATTTTACAAGCGCATCAAATTCAAGCCCCTTATATACAATTATTAATTAGTATTAGTAATGAATTTGACTTAGTGATGAATATTACTCTAAGTAATGAATTTTACTCTAAGTAATAAATATTACTATTATCGATAACCTTACTTTTGGTCATAAATTGTACTTTTAGTCATAAATTGTACTCTAAGTAAGATGATTCTTCTTTAATAAAGTTAAATAAATTAGATCGTTATACAAATAAATAATAGAAATAGAATATAATAAAAATAATAAAAAAAATAAAATAGATTACTCCGGAATTTCAATCAGCGAATTAATGCCAATTATCTTCTGGACCAGGATATAAAGCTCAAAATTTGTATAAAAATTCAAGTTTACATCAAAGTTAACTTGTGTCAAAGTTTTAAAGATTTGAAACTTGCAACATATTTTCTTTATTCTAAAAATTTTGGTGTAATGGGCACCTGTAGATTTTTTTTTTTAATGTACTAATTTAAAAAAAAAATCAAAGAACAAAATTATCATTTAAGTTGAGCCAAAAAAAATTTTTACAATTTAATAAATTTAATATGATTTACTTTTGAAATTTTTTGCTGAAATTTTCTACAAAAATCATCATCATCAATATAATCAGAATATTTGTCATAATTGTCATCACTTTCAGTAGTAACACTATTGTCATTGTTTCATTATTACTAGAAAGGCTCCACATGAGCCAGCTTGCAAGCCAAATAACTTAATAAGTTCACAAGCCAGCTCTCAAGCTGAATAAATTATCTGGCTCACAAGCCAGCTTGTGGGGAGCTTTAATCACTAGTGGTACCATTATCATGAGACAATGATGATTCAGTTGAATCCTATAATGTTTATGTGATGTAAAAATATTTGAAAATCTACAAAACATTCAATGAATAGCTTAATAGAGAAATTGTTAAAACATACTGGAATCTCAGCATTATCTTCAGATAATAATATTTTCAGATATTCAAAAAGTTCCAGAGTATCTAGTGGTGTTGGTGGTGGTCCTCATAGAATCTTCTTAATACTTTCAAGTAGATCATCTGTATCAATCCATTCTTTAATATCATTACTATTGTTATAAATAAAGAACAAGGTTTATTTATAAGTAAACTAAAATGACAATGAGTTGTGATGATTGCAACCACCAGCAGTTGCATGTGACCACCACCTTTAAAAAAAAAAAAATACTCTAACAACACTTACCCTTTTGATGACAGTGGCAATAATGGTGGCAGCTGGGATGATGATCTGATAAAAGTTGAAATTTTAGTAAACTACAGAGGGTGATCACGGGTTTCCGAATGATTAAAAAACCGTTTACATTTATTTATTTATATTAATATTTTTTTTAAAATAAATGAAAATTTACTTGTTCCGAATATTTTTTACATGTTTTATTAAAAATTTAATATTTTGTTGCTCCACCTTCGGCTGCTATACACGCTTGGATTCG